TTTTATCTTAAATTCAGTAAACTTGCGAAACTCATTAATTTGTAACTTCTTTCTGATTTCTCTTGATTTTCCTATATAAGAAATATATGTAAATGATAATAGTTTTGTTTCTTCTTTTCTATTAAGTGATGAGACTAATTTGGGATAACCACACTGAATACTTTCTGTTAGAAAATGGAAGTAATGAGCGGTTTATACAAGTGACTGGTTCATAGCAGCTCTCAAATCTTGCTGGACAGATGGCATCAGGTCTTCCCGTCCAAGGTGTTGGGAGGTGTTCCTTAATCGGAAAGTGAAAGTGAAGTCGCTCAGTCGTGTCCGACTCGTGGACCATAGCCCACCAGGCTCCTCCGTCCATGGGATTCTCCAGGCAAGAACACTGGAGTGGGCTGCCATTTCCTTCTCCAGGGGACCTTCCCGACCCGGGATCAAACCCGGGTCTCTTGCATTGCAGACAGATGCTTTACTGTCTGGGCCACCAGGAAAGCCCCAGTCCTATTCCCTGGGAGTCCCCATCCATTGTTTCCCACAAGATATTGTGGCTTCACCGTCTGAACGTTCCTTTCTTTCTTTCTTTTTTTAACCTGTTGGCTGCTTCTGAAGAAAGCACTGGAAAGGGTTCCTTTGAGTAACTTCTCCAACTTTCTGACTGTGGAAGTATGCAGTCCCTAAAGGCTGGGCATTATTCCTTGAATAGTCTCGGTCCTTCTCACTTCAGGCTAACGCCCTTGCCAGTTCAACTACCTCGGATGATTTCTGTGTTTTCTGGGTATTTGATTTGGAGAGTAAGTTAACATTTCAAAGTTGCACAGGCCAAAACTGACTCTGAAGCTGTAAATGTGTTTATGGACTTTTTTTCCCCTAAAACATGTCTTTCCTTAATTTGCTCTTAATGCAAATATAGGCTTAACATTTAATAGTACTACTGTTAATTTTCATTCTTATACTTCAAATGATATTAAATTGTGGCAGATAAATATGCCTTTTCAGTAATTGCAAGTCATTAATTTGATTGCATGATTTCACAGCTGAAAGCTTTGATTTCCTAGCTTTGGGAATATAAATACAGAAGGATATTAGATCAGTTGCTATGTTGTGCAAACACTAAAAATTATTTGCTACATTTTCATGAAGGCTGGGACTCAATATCAAGATATCTAACTATTTTCTGTCACTTACCATTTGCATAAATGTTCACTAAATATGTCTAAATCATATTTCACATGTCATTTTTGGTGTGTGTTGATATATTAATTAATACTACATTGTATATATTTTAATATTTTATTTGTATAATATTTGGGGGAATTGTAAAGATTCAGTCTATCAGATCTAAATTTTAAGGAATTGTTCGAGACTCTTGTAATAGTGCAAATTATAAGCCTGTTTCTCAGGTTAAGATATTTTAAAATATATTTTTTCTTATTATAAGTACATATTTATCATAGAATATTGAAAAGACATGCCAATGCCAAAAGAAGAATTTAAGAATTACCTGTAGTCCCTCCATTCAGTTAAAACCAGTAAATTTTGGTCTTACCATTGTGTTTTCCAGTAAATCAAGCAGTGTCTGGCACATAGTGAATCATAATAAATATAAAAGAGTGAATAAATGAAGGAGTTAGTCTATGAATGATGCATTGATAGTTTGTAGTAGAAATCCTGAGAGGTTTTGTTTGTTGTTTTGTTATTGAAAGTGCCTGACTTTAAGCTTTGACTGCTGAGGCATCTACCTCAAAGGTGGTGTCCATGGAGTTTCCCAGGCAAGAATACTGGGGTTGGTTGCCATTTCTTTCTCCAGGGGATCTTCCCAACCTAGGGATTAAACCCAGGTCTCCTGAATTGCAGGCAGATTCTTTACTGACTGAGCTGCCAAGGATGCCCACTTTAGGGGTGGCTATCACTAATAAGCATATTTCAGAGATCCAGGCCCCACCCCCACCCTGTAGCTCCTTTGTCTTAGAGGTGTTAGTGGATTTTAATAACCTGATGATTCATTTTTTTTCAACTGGCCACTTAGTTTTTCTCTTCCCTCTTTACATTTCTACTCTCTCTTATAAATTTGCCAGTGAAGAATGAGCCCATAAAAACCCATAGCCCCCACCATTAACCCCAGTAACAGCAGAAACCCAGGCCCATGCTTGCTGTCTTCCGCGCTCCCTCTGTGTGGTACCAGGTGTACGGTACAATTCGAGATTCTGTAGGTCATCAGTTCAGTTCAGTCCCTCAGTCGTGTCCCACTCTTTGTGACCCCATGGACTGCAGCATGCCAGGCTTCCCTGTCCATCACCAACTCCTGCCCATGCTTGCTGTCTTCTGCGCTCCCTCTGTGTGGTACCAGGTGTACGGTGCAATTCGAGATTCTGTAGGTCATCAGTTGAGTTCAGTCACTCAGTCGTGTCCCACTCTTTGTGACCCCATGGACTGCAGCATGCCAGGCTTCCCTGTCCATCACCAACTCCTGGAACTTGCTCAAACTCATGTCTATCGAGTCAGTGATGCCATCCAATCATCTCATCCTCTGTCGTCCCCTTCTCCTCCTCTGTCTTCCCCTTCTCCTCCTGCCTTCAATCTTTCACAGCACTGGAATCTTTTCCAATAAGTCAGTTCTTTACATCAGGTGGCCAAAGTATTGGAGTTTCAGCTTCAGCATCAGTCCTTCCAATGAACACCCAGGACTGATCTCCTTTAGGATGGACTGGCTGGATCTCCTTGCAGTCCAAGGGACTCTCAAGAGTCTTCTCCAACACCACAGTTCAAAAGCATCAATTTTTCGGCGCTCAGCTTTCTTCACAGTCCAACTCTCACATCCATACATGACCACTGGAAAAACCATAGCCTTGACTAGATGGACCTTTGTTGGCAAAGTAATGTCTCTGCTTTTTAATATGCTGTCTAGGTTGGTCATAACTTTCCTTCCAAGGAGCAAGCATCTTTTAATTTCATGGCTGCAGTCACCATCTGCAGGGATTTTAGAGCCCCCAGAAATAAAGTCTTTCACTGTTTCCATTGTTTCCCCATCTATTTGTCATGAAGTGATGGGACCAGATGACCTGATCTTAGTTTTTTGAATGTTGAGTTTAAGCCACCTTTTTCACACTCCTCTTTCACTTTCATCAAGAGGCTTTTTAGTTCTTCTTCACTTTCTGCCATAACAGTGGTATCCTCTGTGTATCTGAGGTTATTGATATTTCTCCCAGCAAAATTGATTCCAGCTTGTGCTTCATCCAGCCCAGCATTTCACATAAGGTACTCTGCATGTAAGTTTAATAAGCAGTGTGACAATGTACAGCCTATTTGTACTGCTTTTGCAATTGGAACCAGTCCATTTTTCTATGTCCAGTTCTAACTGTTGCTTCTTGACCTGCATACAGGTTTCTCAGGAGGCAGGTAAGATGATCCGGTATTCCATCTCTTGAAGAATTTCCTAGTTTGTTGTGTTCTACACAGTCAAAGGCTTTGGCGTGGTCAATAAAGCACAAGTAGATGTTTTTATGGAACTCTCTTGCTTTTTCTGTGATGCAGTGGATGTTGGCAGTTTGACCTCTGGTTCCTCTGCGTTTTATAAATCCAGCTTGAACACCTGGAAGTTCATGGTTTACGTACTGTTGAAGCCTGGCTTGGAGAATTTTGAGCATTACTTTGCTAGCGTGTGAGATGAGTGCAATCATGTGGTAGTTTGAACGTTCTTTGACATTGCCCTTCTTTGGGATTGAAATGAAAACTGACCTTTTCCAGTCCTGTGGCCACTGCTGGTTTTCCAGATTTGCTGGCATTTTGAGCACAGCACTTTCACAGCGTCATTTTTTTAGGATTTGAAATAGCTCAGCTGGAATTCCATCACCTCCACTAGCTTTGTTCATAGCAATGCTTCCTAAAGCCACACAAAAATGCTTCTGTGAGTCATAAACCTTTATTTTTTCAAGTTGCCTGGTGATTATTGCTGAAGAGTGTCTTGCACTTACAAAGAACCACAAGGGCTGGTTCAATAACAGCGCTGGTTATTGGTGGGCTGAAACTGGCACATGAAGGTATACCCATATGAATTTTTTAAACAAAAATTAGATCTTACAATAGGTATTGCTTTGTAATCTACCTTGTTTCCACACTGAGGTATCCCTAGCCGTTGCATGTCTTTGGTATTCATTTTAAAGTATTAAATGATATAAATATTTAAAATATCATTTTAAGAGTCACATCATATCCTAGTTTGTGAAAACAGATCACGTTAGCATTTTTAAAAATTAGCATAGCATGCCTGTCATTGATACTGCTCTGCTTCCAACCTCTACTGGATTTATCCAAGTGTTAGTCGCTCAGTCGTGGCTGACTCTGCGACCCTATGAACTGTAGCCCACCAGGCTCCTCTGTTCATGAGATTCTCCAGGCAAGAATACTGGAGTGTGTTGCCATTTCCTTTTCCAAGGAATCTTCCCAACCCAGGGACTGAACCCGGGTCTCCTGCATTGCAGGCAGATTCTTTACGGTTTGCGCCACCAAGGAAGCCCCTGGATTTCTAAAAGTCCAAAATGCTTTGCAGTTGGAGGCAGTGTATCCTTCTAACCCTGTCTCTCCTGCACTTGGTGTTCTGAGCCCACCTCAATTTCTCCCACATTTGAGAAATTCTGTGTCATTTTCTAACAACACCAAGCTCTTTCACTATGTGGGCCTTCCCATACACTCCTCCTGGTGTTGCAAATGCTAATCCTCCCCCTCTACCATCTTGAGGACAAACACACAGCCTAAGAAACCCAAATCAAAGATTTCACTCCTGCATCCTTTACCAAAATGGCCTTCATGAGTGGGCAGCAACCCTATAGAGGAAGTCACCTGCAGAGATGGAAAGAACTGAAATTTTATGTCAATTCAGAAAGAAAGGGGAAAAAAAGGAACATTTTAATTTGAGGAAGCAGTTTAAAATCTAGACAAGAATATTTCCCTATCGCCCTTTTCATGGCAATATGTTATCTAAGGCACAGAAATTCTTTTCTTCTCTTCAGGAAACCATGGCATTTAGTTCTTCTCTTCTGAGACCTCGTGTGATTGGCGAGTGGATTGGTCGAGAAGAGAACGATGCTGACCCATTGGCCGCTGAAATGCTACAGCCCCCAGTTCCCAGAAGTAAAAATGAACAATGGGAAAATGAAGACAGTAGCTCTAGCCCTGCAGGAAGGTGAGACGAGATGTCTTCTAAGATTCTGAACACTTTCATCATTTCAGACAAAAGGGAAATCACATGCATAATTTTGATGAGATAACTCTTAGCAATTTTATATAGAATATTATGTCACATATAAGATAAAAATTAATTTCTCTCTTTTAAAATTAGAGTTTTCTCAGATTTGCTTTTAGATTTGGTTTTGATTTTTTGCTTTACATCTAGCAAGCGTATCATTTCTTTGCTACCAAAACCAAATAGAAAAATAATTACAAGGACATAAACTGTCAGTCAAGACCTACTGTAATATGGATAAGACTGGCTTATTATTAGGGTGAGGGTTAAGATTGGAGAGGGAAGACTTCTGATTTACCAGAGAGATCTAGTTATTCAGCAAGAAGAAAACTATTAAATATATGTTAAACTATTGTGGTTTAGTCGCTAAGTCATGTCCAACTCTTGCTACCCCATGGACTGTAGCCCACCAGGCTCTTCTGTCCATGGGATTTTCCAGGTAAGAATATTGGAGTGGGTTGCCATTTCCTTCTCCATGGGATGTTCCTGACCCTGGGATCGAACCCAAGTATGAAAGACTATACAAGGTGGAATTAGATGGAATATATAGAGAGAAACCTTGGTTTAGAACCATTTGAGTTTAGAGTTGATAACTACGATTGAATATAATTATTTACATTCTCTATGGTTTAACTTTTGAAATGATTTTGAAACTATTATAATTTGTGAATTTGAAAGTCCCTGGTTTATTTTACTCAATCCTATGATGCTCAAAATGGTTTCAGAAGATTTGCCCTAAGTTTCCATGTACTGGTGTGCATGCATTCTAAGTTGCTTCAGTGTGTCTGACTCTGCGACCCCATGCATACCAGGTTCCTCTGTCCATGGGATTCTCCAGGCAGAATACTGGAGTGGGTTGCCATTTCTTTCTCCAGGGGTTCTTTCTGACCCAGCCATCAAAGTTGCGTCTCTTTATGTCTCCTGCATTGGAAAGCAGTTCTTTACTACTGAGAAGCCCCCTCTATATACTAGTAGAAGTGAGATAATTTTGAAAAGTCTAGATAATATTTTTTAGAAAAAGTGTATTCAGTATAACTATTTCTTATAATACTAACTGCAGTGAGTAAAATTTGAAATGAAAATGAAAACTTCTATGAGGAAGTTGGAGTGAAAAGGCATTATCAAGGCATGGCTTACACAAGATTGAGAAAAAATACTCATGGACTGAAATGTGACAGGAACTTAAACTTTCTGTGAATGTTGCTAGCTGAGCACCCACAGAAGAGTTTTTCCTGTGCATAGCATAGCCACAGTAACTTTGTGTTTCCTACATTAAATTTAGCAGCAACCAATAACCATTCTTTCTCAAGGAGAAAATTGTATTTTCTACAATGTAATAGCTTTCAGGGTTTTTTTTACTTTGACTTATCACTTGGCTAGAGGGAAGAAAATTCGGAATACTCGTTTAATGTGCTTCAGGCATATAGAAAATTGATTCTATTTCCATGAGAAATAACTTTTAAATTATTTAAATAGTTGAAGTGTACTGTATAAGGAGAAGAAAACCATTTCTAAAAATCCATTTACCTTCTTTTGTGAAATGTCAGATCAATTTCACCTGTCAATGAGGGTAATTTTATTTTTAACACTAGACATATGAAACACACTACACCTTTATCTTTATTCATTGCTAGATCTTTAATTCTTAAATATAAAATAGAGAAATGTCAATTTTCATTGTGCTTTCATTTAGTCATAATAATAAATAAGAGCTATTTATTGCAAATGTTAGTCCTTCTATTTTCTTCCTAGCTTCAGTGAGCTCTTATTTCCTCTTGAATATCCAATAAATGAGATTTTCTCTTGCAATCCTAGTAATATCCATTACCCAGAAAACTCAGTCCGTGGAGCTCTCACTCAAATATTTGTTTTGAAATGTTGTTTTCACTTCTATTTTTATCTATCTTTAAATAATGAGTTGATATATTACCTATGAAACGAAGAAAGTGGTGAAAAGTCCTGCTCAGATGCCCCATTAGAGAAAAAAGAAGGCATGCTTTCTGAACTAAATTTAAAGAGTAGCAGTAAAGTTATGGGTTAGAAACTATATTCCATCATCTAATACAAAACCAGGATTTCTGAATTTAGGCCAGGAGCTCACACAGCACTAAATTTGACTGGAATGAATAAAAACAGGTTGGGGAGCAATTTCCTAGTGAATCAAGAGTCTGTTGCTGGGGTATTAGCTTTTGCCCTTGAATAGTAATGACTTTATCTTATAACTTAACAGTCTTAAAAATTAGCAGACTAATTACATTCTAGACTCCTGAAAGAGAAGACTTAATTTTTAAGGATGACTTCTGTTTTTCTCTCCCCTACTGGACCTCCTACATTGCCATTGTCAGTAGGCATCTGCTATGTGAGTGAAGGAGGCACAGAAGACTGTGAGTAGACATCTGATAAATAAAAGTTATTTGTATGAAGGGTTGGAGAAGGAAATGGCAACCCACTCCAGCGTTCCTGCTTGGAGAAATCCCAGGGACAGGGAGCCTGGTGGGCTGCCGTCTATGGGGTCGCACAGAGTCGGACACGACTGAAGCGACGTAGCAGCAGCAGCAGCAGCATACGAAGCGTTGTTTATAGTCTATCTTAACATTTTATCTCTTTTCCTATTGCGGATTCCCCTCCTGCTAATTGCTCAGGTCTTGTTTGAATGGCTGTTATTACAGCACCCAGTCTTTAGTACATTGCTAATTTTCCCTTTCATTCAGAGCAATACAGACATCATAGGCTGGACTTTCGCCATTAGATTAGAGAGAATTAAATAAATGGTGCAGTAAACCATTGAGAGTCTTATGAATAGACTCTTACCCACCATATTTTCCTGGAACTTTAAAAAAATGATACACTTTACCTGAACTTTTTCCTTAGGTCCTACAAATACAGCATTGTGTAAAGAGGGTCAGCAACTTTAGTATACATAGTTGTCATCTGAAAGGTTAAGTGCTGGTTAAAATGAAGGCAATTATGAGGGCAATATAGAGAAACTAATAAAATAAGACAAGACGATATAATTGTTAATTGTTAAGAGAGTTTAAGAAAGTAAAGCATCTGAACAAGCAAACAGAAGGGTCATAAGAGAGAGGTGAATGTGTTAGGGAACGACTGCATGTGTTCTATGATCGTCACGTGCTACCATCTGACATTGGTTGCTGTGGCTTGTCTAGGCATTTAGTGGGAAGCATACATGTTCATTGCACACTTAGAGTTGTTAAAAATAATCACACATTGATAATATAAATGTAAATAAAAATTGAGTTAATAAACCTATATACTTATATTTTGAGCCATCTCAATTAGAATTTGCAATAGCTGATAATAGACTTTCTAAAATTACTTGCTAAATTATAATTGAATTCTTAAATAGGCTTATCAAGCCTTGAAAGCCTAATGAAGCTTCTCTAAGATGAACCACTTTATTAAAGTAAGAATAATATCAATAAATATTATAGATCTTGTAAGTTGACTTTATTCATTGAGAGCATCATTATCAGATATAAATATGCCATAAAATGAATAGAAAATTTTATAAACTAGAAATATATATTAAATATTGAAAGCTAAATTAACTTCCCATAAGCAGTGCTCCTTTTCATTAAACCTCATAATTGCTTCTGATATATCTGTTAACAAACCCTAGAAATGTTCCCCTCCTCTTAGAGCTCCTCTGTTGGCAACTAGAAAGAAACAACAAATAAACTAATATATTAATTTATGCCATAAATTCAAGTAGTGGTAAGAGATATGATGGAAAATAAACCAGAACAAGAAGGAAGAAAATGGATGGAGAGCACTTAAAAAAAAAATAAAAGAAGTCAAGAATAAAGAAATAATCATAAAATTGTCTAATTTTGGCTGTTGTGGGCATGTTAGAAAATATATAATGCATGTGGCAGAGACCGTGTCAAACTTAGTAATTTATTTGCTATTCTTGAATATTCTCACATGCAGATTCTTACCATAAAGAATATTGATCAATCAAAAATGATTTTGCCAAAGTAATTAAAAGAACAGAAACCTTAAAAATATCTAAAACATACAAAAATTGCCCCTTGTAACTCACAAATTTCTCTTTAAAATCAAAAAAGTATATAACTAAATCATATATTTCAAAATGTTGATGAGGTCATTTTAATATATTAAAAATTTGCTCTTATTTTTTTAAGAATTTATTCATTTATTTAGTTAAGAAATACTTACCCTAATTCAAATAGTCATTTTATGAAACACATTGCTAGTCATCTTTGGACTCATAGACTCAGATGGACTCGTTATTAGACAGCATTTTGGATTCAATCTGTGTCTAGTTCTGGTAGCACACCACCATCTTCATGACCAAATCATGTATTTTAATGAGACTAAAGAAAACACTTGCTTCACCGTTCATGAAATGGTCTTGGTCATTGTCAGGGAGTTACACATTTGTTATCTGCCGCTTGTTCCTCATTATTCACATTCCAATCTATTTGTTCTTTTTTCTTTTGTTTCACTACCTACCTTTCCATTTCCCTGGGTTCTCATACCTCTCAAGTTGGAGAACTCATATTACATCTACTTAAATGAATTCTTATTTTATTAGAAAATATGAGATTCAAAAAGAAAGTGTGAATTTGTCAAATATTTATTGAGCACTAACACAAGGTAATGTGCTAGGTACTGGGCAAGACCAATATGGAAACAAAAATTGTAGACTCAAAGTATTGGGTTGACCAGAAAGTTTGTACAGAGGTAAAGAATCTGCCTGCCTAATTCAGGAGACACATGAGATGCCGGTTTGATCCCTGGATCAGGAAGATGCCCTGGAGGAGGAAATGGCAACCCACTCCAGTATTCTTGCCTGGAAAATTCCATGGACTGGGTAGCCTGGTGGGCTATAGTTCATGAGGTTGCAAAAAAATGGACATGACTTACTGACTAAACAACAACAACAATATATATAGTCATTGCACATTTAGAGTTTTTATTTTACTGGAGTTATTTATTTTACTAATATATGCATAGATTTGCAAAGCAAAATATTTGAGTGAAAATTTGTAGATTTTCTTTAGTTATCACAGCTAACTGTCATCCTCATTGAAAATTCACATTGAACTACTTCTTCAGCTTAAAGGTGGAGCTCAAGACTAAAGGATTAAAACAACAGCAACAGCAACACAAGAAACTTCTGGCAGCCATGCTTTCTCAAGATTCTTTTGAGTCTGTCCATAGTCCCACCCCATCTGTAACAGAAGAAGATATTGATAATGAAGATGATGCAATGGAATTGCTGGGTAATTTTAAAAATTAATAATTTCTCTTTTTATTCTCTGGCATTGTAAAAGTGTGTAGTGGTTTAGAGATTTTAAAGGTTTTGAGTGGTTTTGTCATAGGGTAAAGAAACTATTTAACGTACACTTTTCATTAGACTTTCATGGAGTTGCATGTGAGAATTAAGTTGAAATTAACTCAGCATGTAAAATATTTATCAGACTGTATTTTGTGCTTTGTATAGGCAGAACTTACCTTCTCCCTGCTTAATCAGTCTTTATTCTCTGTGCAATTGTGATACAAATTCAGGTCTGTCTGCTTTATTCTCTGATTATTACTGCCTTGATCACATCTTCTGTCTATACAATATATCCAGAGTACCTATTTCAGAGTTCATTCCAATATGTCTCCCTGTTGTTTCAAAGATATTTTAGAAAAAGCAAGTTAAGCTTAAACAGGCACATAGTAAATTAATGTTAGTATGTCTTCCATAAATGACAGGAAAGTTTGCAGAGATTTCAATGTTTTTATAGTCTTATTACTTTTATGGAAACCTTATTGATGTTGTATATATAGGAAGTCCTTTTGTATCTTTTAATGAAGTAGATGTCTATTTTTGTTTCATCAGAATCTCTGCATAGTAGTTTTTTTAAAAATTGAACTTCCTTTTGTAAAACCATTTTTTCAAAGAAGAAAATGAAATTTTATTTCAGAGAAAATGATCCACATATAAAACAGAGTTTTTAGTTCAGTGATATTATCTATTCTATTCTAAATAATTAGAACAGTTTTCAAATATTTTGTGACATTATCCTAGGAAATGAAAAAATGATAAAAGTCATTTGAATTTTTCAAATAAGTTTTACATATAGAAAAAGGACCCCCAGAAATATACAGACTTTTTTAAATATTTTTTTTTCTAAACTAGCTTTCTGGGTTTTAAGTGTTTATGGCAGTAAGATACTGTTATTGTAATAAATGATATAGGTTTCCAAGGATAGGCTTACAAAGTGTTATTTAGTTAGTGATGACAGGTTCACTGATGTCGTCTGATGTTATAATAACTGCATTCATTCGAAAATTTAGAAGACTGTGTCATGGCATTTTCGCTTCATGCTGTCCATCTTTTTTAAAAAAGAACTGTTAAATTTTGTTGCATTTTTTAAGGGGTCTCATTTCCCACCAGATGTGCCAGATGCGGTGGCTGTACCTTCATCCAGCTTCCATTCAGCAAACCTTTACTGAATGCTAGGCACTGGGCTTAGTCCTGGGGATGTAAAGATAATTGTGGTTTCAGTGTATGTTCAAGTGTTCAAAATGAAAGTACAAATACATCACTCAGTTTTCACTTCAGGTGCTTAAATTTAGTTAAGCACAGAGTCGTACATAGGAATAGCATCCAGTGCAGAAGTAGGGGCCAGTGATCAAGGAATGCTTTCTAGAGAGTCTTATTCCTCTGCTAAGTCCCGGAGGAGAAGCGGATGGAGTTTGGCAGGCAGAGTGTGGTCCTGACCCTTGCGGGTTTGCTGATGCAGGAATGGATTCTTGTGGTGCTCCATGACACTGCCTATATGCTGTTCCTCTGCCCTCATCGGTAGCAGTGAAGGAGGCAAGTCTGGAATAGCGACTGTTCATGGATGTGGCCTGTGTGACATCAGTGTTGATGAATCGGTACGTGGGTAATTGGTTGTACAGATATCCTTCTGTCTCATCCCTTTCCTTTAAATGACAGCTCACAGTCAGTTGATACCCATATGAAGTTAGTTTTACTCTATCTTGCAGAGAGTATCTTTTGAAGAAATCCAGGCATTCTCTGAATCGCTTTGAGATTCCTGAGAACATCAGGAATGTCTTATCAGAATGGTTGGTTGGTGTTCAGTTGCTCAGTCGTGTCTGGCTCTTTGCAACCCCATGGGCTGTAGCCCACCAAGCTCCTCTGCAGGGGGATCTCCCAGGCAAGAATACTGCAGTGGCTTAGGAACTCATCTTGTTTCAGTAATACCAAGGGATTCTTAAAGGAGACTCAGGCGTCCACTCAGTATTGGCATCCCTATATCTCAGCTCTGCTGTTCTGAGGTTTCTAGTCTTCCAAGATGAAGACCAAAGGACTGGGTTTTGGAGACTTACTAATGTGAGCAATTAATATCTGGGTCTCAATTTTTTTTTTCATTTAGACATTTTAGCATGTGGTCTGAACAAATTTAAGAATGAGAGGTAGTTGGAGGTTTGGACTTTTCTCCTTGTGAAGTCTGCATATGTCAGCACAGGCAGATGGTGGTTTACTAGCGCTGGTCTCTAGGTTGTAAGATTTCCCAGCGATAATATTGAATAGTCCAAGCACTCTTGGCTGTCCCCTAAAACAATGCCATATACAACCCTGTTGCCTAGCTGTCTCAGTGAACAAAGGTCATAAAACAGAAAACTGTATCAGCAAATTATTGTGCCCAGAGACCTCACCAATTAAGTAAAATGTTCTTTGAATATGAAATATATTTGTCTCTAAGACCCTAATATTCCTACTCATTAATATTATTCTATTATTTAGAAATATTTATTTAAAATGTAGACTCAGAGTTTTTTTTCCAAAGTAGTATATGTAAGTTCATGACTAATAATGTTAGTTATGCCTTTAACTAATGTAGTGAATGGCTCATCTCTTACATAAAATCAAACAGATGTCCATGAATAATTTCAGTTAGTGCAGGAGCTAAGAATTTTTCAGCCATGATATTGTAGTAGATGAATATGTGAAGTACAGGTATGAAATAAAATGGTTATTAAGTTACTCAGTTTTAAGAACTGCATCTTCAGTAGGCTTGTGCATTCTATTAGATTTTAAATCCCACACCAATCAATTGATGAAACATTCCTAAATCAATTTAGAAACCTTATAGTATCTATCTTCCTAGTCCTTTTAATATTAGATTTGCATCTTGTTTATTATTAAAGAATTTTGAGATAATCATTTTGAAACTCTGATTCTAGAAAAACATAAGTGAAGTGATTGTACATATTTGAGGAAAATATAAATATCAAGTTCTTGAACTTATTTGAAATCAAATTTTAGCATGTGAAATCATTGTAAACTGCAACAGTGACATCTGGTATTTAAAAGATCTTTTTGAATCTATAACATTGTTTAGAATGAATTTACTATAGCTTATGTGTTTTAAGGGTTTAACTTGTGATTGTTAACTATACTGTAACTGGCTGAGAGTTTTATTTATTATGCATGGGAAGCAGTGCACTTTGTGTGCTGATTAATAAGTAAAAAACATAATTATTAGTTAACAATATAAGAGAAGATTATTCCTAAGTAAAACTTAGGATTTGATTTTGATTTGAAGGGGAAAAAACTTTTAATTGAATTAGTAGAACTTATTAAGAGTAAAATTATTGGCCTTTGTTTTGTTTGTTAAGAAATCTAGTATTATTAATATATGCTAATATTTAATTCTTCACAGTTGTGTATTTGTGAATTTCCTTGCTAAGTGTACTACACAAGTGAAAATATTATAATATAATATCTATAATCTTAAGTAGATTATTTTCTATGATTACTTAAAATGCTACTTAAAAACTCATGGTATAAAAGTAGCTTTTAGTATGAAATTAAGATATACATGTGTATATGCTCAACTGTGTCTGACTCTTTGCCACCCCATGCTCTGTAACCCACTAGACTCCTCTGTCCATGGGGTTTCTCGGGCAAGAATACTGGAGTGAGTTGCCATTACCTTCTTCAGGGAATCTTTCTGGCCCAGGGATCGAACCCATGTCTCTTGTGTCTCCTGCATTGGCAGGTGGATTCTTTACCACTATGCCACCTGGAAAGCCTGGAATTAATATATAGCAGAGAATAAAATATCCAAACTTGTGAAATTTTAAGATACAATTTTAAGCACCTCTGAAATTGGCACTGTAATTACAGAAAAGGCTGAATAAGATATCTGACAATTCATCTCAAATTAAGTAGTTTTCAACTTCAAATATAAGATGTTCTCAACATTTCAATAATTATGCTAGAATTGATCACAATGAATAGAATGAGAAAGAATATTCACATTATTTTTAGAATTATTAAAGTCAATAACTTTTCAAAAGTGGAGAAACAAATACCTGTATATCGTACTGCATTCAGTTGCACAGAAAATTTGAGGAACCTCATTAGCTTAAAAGATATTTCAGTTTGTAAATGTGAGTCTATTTTCATTATATTACATGGAATTTTCATTTTATTTTTGATGGGGCATTCATTGCAGTTTTGTGTTTGATTATTCTGTATATAATTTATCCTCATTTTAAATGTCACCAGAACTTTTTGAAAGCTACTTTTTTGTGCATTTTAGTATGGTATTACTTTAAAAAGCTTTCTCTTAGATTTTTCTCTGAATTGATGAGACAGCTATCTAAAAATCACTTTCCAGAGAGGCTAAAAAAGAAACAACTTTCGTCATACTTTATAGTTCCTGGTCTTAGCTTATATATAATCATATCAAAATTAAAACTGTTTTACCAAAAACACGGTGATTGCAAATATATTTTATTTATTTGAAATTTAATAATTAAAACCAAGTATAATTATTCTGGTATTCTTTGCAGAATATAGTAATTGAACTTCTAAAACCCAGTTGGCAGTATCTTCCCAAATTATGTAAAATATAAACTTAATTTTCTGGAAGGACTTATTTGTCAAAGGTTTGACAATTTTTTTTTTAATGGATGCTTCTTAAAACAGACCATTCATATTTTCAAAATAAGAAGATGCGTTTCACCTAATGAGAAATGGATACTGTCACTCAATGATGTTAAAGAAAAAAATGGAGAAGGCCTTTAAATGTTTAAAAAAAAAAATCTGTCTACCTATCTCTATACCTGTATTTTAATAATCTAAAGCATATGATATGATCTAAATCACAAAGGGACATTCTTAAAAACTTCATTTCTTTTGCATATTGATTATTGGTAACATCAAGATGTCAGAAAACTTATAGTTTTAAAATGATAGTCTTTGTAGAAATTTTTCTTTTAAAAAGTCTTAGACTTTTAAAAATCATATTTATGGATCCTTTAATACTGTGTACAAGATTGCTTTAAATATGGTTTAGAAATTCATTCAGCATATACAAAAGTAACTTAATACAGAATTAGTACATATTTGAGATTAAAATTTCCAAATTAGTGGATGTTAAGGCATAGCAATTTTGAGCACCTCTGAAGTTAGTACTCTAAATCTAGAACATACTGAATAAAATACCTTCTGAATCTCTCAATTTAAGTAGCTCTCATTTAAAAATATCAGTCTCAAAAGTTCCAGTAATTATACTGGCAGTATTAACCAAACATTGTAGAAAATTGGCAAATATATTTTTAAATGTTCACTAAATTAATTAGTACAACTGAAGAGCTAGGATGCCTGTACACAGATGTGTGAAAATCTTTTTCACATGCTGAATAATAAAGATTTCCTCCTGTTAAGCCACGGAATATATTGTAAAAGAAATTCTATGAAATACTTTTACTATAGAGTTTATCCTGTATTTCTGAATTCTGATTTCATCTTGCTTTCGTACCATCATTGTCTGCACAAATGCCAAGTGAGCTTGGGTTAAAGTATAACCTGAGTGGGGTTAATAGCACAGTGCTTGTCTTTCTGGATTATAGTGAAAACATTTGACAAAATATGCTGAAACACATTCTTCCATTCAGCAACTATCACACATCTGCTATGTGAACAGTGCTGGTACATATTAATAAACAGCACTAAGAATATTGTGCCCTCTGTGGAAATGGCAACCCATTCCAGTATTCTTGCCTGGAAAATTCCATGGAGAGAGGAACCTGACAGGCTGTGGTCCGTGGGGTTGCAGGGAGTCGGACACGACTGAGCAACTAGGACTGACCTCTTTAGGCTGTGAAGGAAGAGTTTATCCAGTGAGTATTGGCATCTACATAGAATCAAATATCCTGTGGATCTTTGCTTTAGTTCTCAATTAGTCCATTAATTCATTCGTAGGTTTGTTAATGTTTCCACTGACAGTGATTCTGCACATTCCTGGGAGTTCAAATTTGCACAAATGCAGATATGTCTCATAAACTGTCGACTCTTCGGGGGATGATTCTTAAGATTTGTTTTGCTTAAAAATCATTTGAGAAACTTTTTAAATGCCAATTCCTGTGGCCTTTATCCCCAATTNGGAGCTTGCTCAAACTCATGTCCATCGAGTCGGTGATGCCATCCAACCATTTCATCCTCTGTCGTTCCCTTCTCTTCCTGCCTTCAATCTTTTCCAGCATCAGGATCTTTTCTAATGAGTCAGCTCTTTAAATCAGGTAGCCAAAGTATTGGAGCTTCAGCTTCAGCATCAATCCTTCCAATGAATATTTAGGATTGATTTCTGTTAGGATTGGTTGGTTTGAGCTCCTTGTTATCCAAGGGACTCTCAAGAGTCTTCTCTAGCACCACAGTTCGAAAGCATCAATTCCTTAGTGCTCAGCCTTCTTAGGGTCCAACTCTCATACCCATACATGACTACTGGTAAAACCATAATTTTTACTATATGGATTTTTGTCAGCAAAAGTGGTATCTCTGCTATTTAATACCCTATCTAGATTTGTAATAGCTTTTCTTCCAAGGAGCAAATGTGTCAATATTATGGCTGCAGTAACCATCTGCCATGATTTTGGAGTCCAAGTGAGTAAACTCTGTCACTTTTTCCATTTTTTTCCCATCTATTTTCCATGAAGGGATGAGACTGGATGCCGTGATGTTAGTTTTTTTAATGTTGAGCTTTAAGACAGCTTTTTCACTTTCCTCTTTCGCCTTCATCAAAAGGTTCTTTTAATACGTCTTTCTTGCTTCAAAATGTTATAAATTTTTGACATAAACATTATA